GACACGTCCGTGACTCATTGTCAGCGTGCAAAAAGGGTGGCGAGATATACTTACACCGACAGACGTGGAGTTTCAGTACGTCTCCCCGGAGTTGTGCACATCGACCTGCGGTCCACCGTGGATATCGCACACACGTCCTCCTCGGGCACCGATTCCGGCCCGTACGAATCGTCCAACGGTCGAGCGAGCGTTGATCAACTGGCACACGCAGCTTTCATCCGGAACGCACGTACGGTAGCCCGAAACGAAGCCAACCAGATTCCCTCGAATCACTGGCCAGCCACGTGACTAGCCATGGGGAACAGCCGGAATTTGCGCGAGGCCCGAGCCCTGTCCGCTCGTGTACATCGGTCCGCGAGCCTAGCTAGCGTGGCCTGGCTTCGGAAAGAATCGAAACAGAGGTTCGTGCACGAAGTTGGCGTGAAAGACAGACAGACGGTCGGTCGAACGAAAAAGTTAAGCACGTACTTTGCCGCGGTGAGAGAAACTAACAACAAAAGACACGGGAGAAGCAGAGGGCGGACAGACGGAGAACAGGGATAGAGAAAGATAGAGAGAGACAGAGACAGGAAGACAGAGACAGAAAGAGAGAGAGAAGGAAAAGAGAGGACGAAAGAGCGCGGTTTCTCCCTGAGATTTCGAGCTGCACTGCAAACGGGAACAGTCAGTCCTCACTGAATCGGAGTTTGCCTACGTACTCGCGGCTGTAGACTTCGGGATCTGCGCAGTTGCTCGTTCACCACCACCATTTCCACCACCACCACCACCACTGCTACTACCGCCGCCACCACCACCACTGCTACTACCACCACCACCACCACCACCACCGACGCCACCGTCGCCGCCAGTACCACCATACCGTTAACCCCAAACCTCTATGGCTCCTCTCGACTCCCGACAACCCTAACCTCCAGCCTAGGCAGCGCCCTAACTTCCACTGACGAAAGCTCCAAGCGACGCGTGAACGCGAGATTATTCTTACTCGACGAAAATTACTCCCAACAAAGTTACCGGTCCGCGGATTAAATCTATGTAGATGCGCTAGGCTGTGGTATGCATGTTGCCGTTGCGGCGTGCTTAGGCGTGCTACGTGTACTACGCGAGATGAATGCGGTAATTACGATTCAAAATCGACCGTTGCGTCGCGGGGAATCGATGCAATCGGTCGTACTCGAAGAACCGTGCACACGGAGTTTGAATTACTGTCCGTTTGAGAAGATACGATTCTATCGAAGAGTTTTAACGGTTATTCCGCTCGGTGATATTTGCATACGCGTAATTTAATTTTCTAACAATGCCGTTGCACCGTTGACGACACAAAAGCAACCACTTGCGTAGAATTAACTGGATACTCGTGGCCATGACTGCTCGCGTGCGATGTTAAGAATGTTTCGAGCACACTAGTAAGAATACTTTATATCTCACACATTCGTAACGCGTATGCTGAGAGCGTTATAGCCTCGGGCGGTTTCTCGCTACCGACGAAGAAACAATGCTACTAATAACCGGTGGTTAAGCGAAGCCTTTGATTCGTTATCGAGAAGCAAGATAATCTCGAAAGCAACTTTCGTGACTGCTTCTTTGTAACCCAGCACCATTGGAATAATTCTCGTAAAAATATTACCGTGTTGATTGTTATGGTAATAAGCAAGAACACGAGAATTATATGCCGGATCTGTTGAAAATAATCTAGGTTAGGTAGACGGAAAAAGAATATCACGGTCGGTAAGTTTTACGGTTAAAAATCTGGTGACAAGGAGAAAGAATCTTGTCCGAGGTGATGCTACCTAAAGTTCGTTGCTCCGTACATGTTGTCTCCGCACAGTCCACCGAACGTTGGACGTTTGCCAAAGTCATTCTCACATAATTTCAGAGGAATATAAGCGCCAAAAAATACACGGAACTCTCGACTATAATTCCGGTATAAATCTATAAGCAGAAGAATAATCACCGGAGGGTCTTGCAGTAGCAAAACGTTAACGTGACTCGGCTTAATTAAATTTGATATGTTCACGTGATACCGGCTATCGTTTTAATTCATTGAGATCACCCAGGCGTGCATAGAAAGTTTACCACCTACTCATTTGTTTATGTTTCGTCGAGATCATATGATAATGTAAAATCACACTTTTACTAATTACCCTCCGCGATAAACAAGAATACAGGTTATGAAAGAAAATGATGAATGATAGTTTATTGTCCCGTTTTGACATTTTTGTTTAATCTTGAACTGGTAAATGTTCGTTCTTTCCTATTCGATTTAAATAATTAGAAAGAAATCGCTTTCTTCGTTACTAAAGAAGGAAGATTTGTATATCTGATGGAGATGGTACGTCAACGCCATCTAGTGTTCCGACAGGCTAAACAAATAATTTGATTGCACGTCGATAAAGTTATCGGTTGCTTCTTGCTCATGATTATTATTCACTTCGGTTTGACTTATCGTTAATTTAAATAAATCGTAAAATACTTAATATTTCATGCTCACTTAAATTAAAATATTAAAAGTAGGATTTATTATTTTAGATTTATCGCTTACTCGAGTAACAAAAGAAATAATCGAGTATATTTATAAATTTATTAGGTTATAAAATTATTTTTTAAATAATAATAGAAATGATAATTGAAAGGTAGAAGGAAGATTACAACTATGGAGTAAATGTTTCATCACAAGGATAAATTTATATGAATTTTTAATTATCGAGTGCACATAAATAAAGGCAAAAGTCAATGCAGTGACGTTAAATTTCTCAAACTGCAATGACGATATTTACATCGTGAATAAACTCTATGAGAATGCAAGATGATACGAAATATGTCCAATGTCCATAAATATATGAAATGATTACGTATATACAATATCTACACACGTATAACAGGATATAGAATACGATGTGCCAAATAAATAACAGATAAAACTATTATATCGTTGCTTAAATATTTTTAATCCGTTAGTGTGCGCGTGATACGTCAGATAATCCCACATAACGTTATATTTAATCTTAATTTTCATTTTATATCGATTCGCGTATTTTCTCTGAAATTAAACGAATTCATTACGGCTGAATAAAAAATTATAACAATAAAATTAGACATACAATATTTTGACATTCAGACATTTTATAGCAAAATTTTCGGATATCTAAAGTTTTGTAACTTTTCTAACGAGATTTACTCTAACGCTAAGTTACACAATACAAAATATAAAATGCATAAAAGAAGTTGGCTATTCTAATATCAACAGAAAATCTAATAATAGCAGAAAATCTAGACTTTGAACGTTACGCATAATAATTCGAATTGATTATTTACAAAAGAAGAAACATATTTCTTGTCATTACACTGTCGCGTGATGTTTCTGTAATCCTATCGCTTCATGCTCGAAAAAGGGAGTCAACACCACGACGTGGTTGCTCTGAAGAGGAAATTAATCTTAGGCGATAATTCAAAGCCACGTTATCGAGAAACCTAATGTCAATTGCAAAGTTAATCGATGTTCTCTCTCTTCATTCGCTGTAGAGATACGAGTGGGGCTGGCAGGTCGTTGTTCCTAGTCAAGATCATGAGATCCCTATTCCCGACATTTCGCAATGCTGGCGTAATGCCTGACCTCCGCTTCCAATTCTGCCGAATGCAATTCTTCAGAATTCGACGTGCTGTACTCATCACTCAATCACGCATTGACTACGTGAACAAACGCTTTCAGACGTACGAGTGACACGTACCATATCCAAGCCATATCGATTTCCCATTGTCCTCTATAGGCATCCAGTATGCGTACACCTTTGTCGTGTTATGACAATTGATGCAAAAATATTACACTAACGTAATTACCATTCTACCCATTACCCTCTTAATAAAGATAATTTTCATGTAATTTTCTTGATAATATAAATTAAGTCCTTATTTCATACATTTATTTCCTAAAAGGAAAATAATTGTAAATATTATTTGATATAGAAGGAAAAAGCATGTTACAACTTTCTGCGATGTTGTTACCATAGAAATCTTCTTAAATATGCTTCAGCCGGTATACAAATGACACAATTCGTTGCCCCATCTCACGGTCCGGTCCTAACCTAAGTTGTGTACCTTGAATGTATGCACCTACAATATATATACATAACATTTGTAAACATTCGGAAAAGAAACGTAATACTCATTGTCGTTTGATAATTTCGTGTATATTTTACAGTGCGGAACAGTATTTGTTAATTAAGTGTTATGTAGGTGAAATAACATCGAAGATTATTATTTTGGTTATGTATTCAATATAAGTATGTGTCCAAGACGATATACCTTCATTTAAACAGTGCTAAAGCAATTGAAAGTGATAGAACGCATGCGTATATTATGTCATCGATGTCCACTTCAATATAATCGTTATTTCCCGGTATTTAGTCTTCGAAGTGTTATCTGTATAATTAAAAAGTGTTATGTGTACATTTAAAAAGTATCATTATTAAGAAATACTTAAGAAAAGTGGAAATTCCATAACGAGGTACGAATTCTATATACGATATATTTTTATTACTAGGTATATATGCGTGTTCACGTGACAGGTATACCAAGTGCGAAATAAATACGACCAATCGATTTATTGATTTTTCAATATCTATTATTGTATTTGCGATACATTTATCATGTGTATTCAAGCCTTGAGACATTGATAATTATTCTGTAATAGTTCTTCTAAAATGTAATGTACAGCATAATTTATTTAGATAATGATAATCAATAAACACGTGTCGAATGTGAGTGCACAATACAAGAACGTCATCAAAAGCATTAAAAATTATCTAACAATGAAGGACATGGTAAAAAATTCTCTAATTTTTAAAATAAATATTTTACACGAATATGGAAATACATGGTTTGCATAATTCAATTTTGAGATTAAGCATTGGATGATACATGTTTTTTGAAAGAGTTAGTTGAAGTGCGCATGCGTTCGATGTGTATACAATTTCGAGACTCGTGTCACTCTCGTTTTCTCTCGTTTAACAAGGGTGTATTAACTGTGATTTGACAACACGATCTTATAGAATAACAGTGAATAGTGTAACTGATGGACAAGATAAATGTGTGACGGTGTACAAGAGATCAAATTCGTTTCGACAGGTATACAGTACTTCCCGGTTTGGGAGGTTAGAAAACCTCGAAGCCAAAGGAATACGATTTTCATTCACTTTTTAATGAGGAATAATGAAGCAGTATATAACAAGGGGGGATGAAATGCCGTGTGTACGTGTGGCTGTGTTGGTGTGTGAAAGAGAAAAGGAGGGAGGGAAACATAACACCCCGAGAAGACGTGCGTCGCGAGACTAATACGACGCAGAAAGAACGAGAGTGCGCGTCAGTAGGTTTTATCCTGACCTCGGTCAGACAGACATGGTTTAATTTAACCGGATCCCTGCAAAGTCACAGTTCAATCTATCTTTGTCCAGTGGCGCGATCAAATCCTCGAGACGTTCGCGATTTAACCTCACTCTTCCGTGGACGGGAAGAAGGATACACTGTTTTTCCGGTATGTAATGTGCATTTTCACTTTATAGGTCAAATTCTAAATACGGTGTTACAAATAACGATATTCTTGATTAGTTTGACTCGTGGATAGGAAAATGTTAAAATTCGTAGTCACGATCGGAATTTTTGTGCTTTTCAGCATGAATTTTTTATTCTTATTTGATTCTTTATGAAAATCAATGTACATACATATTTTCGTGTTTGTGTAATTTCAAACCTTCAATCGAGATATCGTGAAATAACGACGTAAATATTATCTATCTTGATTTATCGACGATAAATTATTGTTGACATAATATTTTTTTTCTTTTTTTTCAAACAATCTTTTAAAGGCACAATATTCGTGTTTTAGAAAAAATAACTAAAAATATATATAGCTTCATACATTGGTATCAAGAAGTGTTTTATATTTGCTAAAAGAGATAGTAAAATACGTAATATACGCGTATTAGTTCGAGATGATAATCATCGGAAGTTTTTACAAGCGATGCTGCTTATCTGCAACTCGAATGCCTTTTTTCGCTTCTATTTAATAAAAGTATGAAAATTCGTTTACGTGACTGAATTTTTGGAAACGACGTTTAAAAATATAATTGAAATTATATGCTGCAGGAAATTCAGTATCATGATTTACATAATCGCGTTTCATGAGCAGGGTTTAGTGACTCAATTTTAATATCGTGACCATGAAACGGCATCGTAACCATGTTACCGATTCAGACGGATGCGTGCGTCGCGGAAAAAACCGGCTACTAGCACCGCCGGTAGACTTTGTTGGGGGAAGAGAAAAAACCGTATCAATTCGACTAACGAAAGCAGTCAAATTTCTTTTGAATTCTGGCTGGAAGCGTTTCCCTCGCCCAATATTTCAAAATCCCGAGTACGAAAGACGGGGTATATAAAGGAGACGATATTTGCAAAAAGTATGAATCTCTTGCCCGGAGTCTGAATGCAAATGACTCGATCCCAGCACGCACCGTTTCTATCGTCGCGTTAGCGTTGGGGAGGGGAGATTTCTGGCTCGGATAGAATTCAAAAACGAGAGATCCGTGGCGCCATAGGCGAGGCGACAGCGAGAAATACAAGGAGGAATCGAAAGGGGAAAATACACTTCCTCGTACATCCTTCGCTCCCGTTTGCTCTTTGTGGGATAGTAATGGTCCAGGCTAAAGGCAAACTATACGTAGAAAGCTACAGAGGCAGTAGAGCGTGCAACGCGTAGCATTCTGGCGGAAAGCTTTCCACTGGGTTTCGACTGTATGAAGTTGACTGCTGGCCAGGGGCGTCGTCACCTTTCTTTGTATGCAGCTCCTCGTTGGCTAACATGAAAACTTCCTCAAATGTTATTCATCGCCATAATGGAGATGATTACGGTCGGAATTTAATACGTAGAAATTACCTTTATCAGTCGTGCGTGTTTGACCAGCGAACCGACGGTAATGAATGGAAACGTAATATATGTGGTATTGTGAACGGATATATACATAATTTATATTTTATAACGATATTGTCACTATATTTTCGTAAAAATATTTCAATTGTATATGTAAAACGTTATATGCGATTAATTTCGATCATTTCTTTTAATTTCGTTTTTTCTTTCATGGTAATCGCTACTTACCGATAGAAGAGTGGCACGCCAATTACACTCGCGTCTCGAGTGACGGATAACGGCAATTACCAACGAATTTTAACGATAATAATAGTCCGTCGAACGAGAACTTTCCTAGTGCCATTTTTTTATTGTTGAAAAAGAAAGGCATCCGAAAACAGCAGGAAAGACCAGTGAGGAGCTCTCTGCGGGAACGATTAATGATTCTGGTTCAACGACTTGTAACGCCGTGCATTGTTGCTCGGAATTACCGACCGTCAATTGTGAAGTCTGTTCCTAACTGACAATTGCTCCACTTGCTTTAAATCATTAGTACTCGCTAGTTACCTTGTTGGCACTACAATGAACATTGTCGTCATAACTGATTAAAGTAAATCTCGGCCGCGGTAATGATTTTTTTTTTTTCTGTTACGGTATTCATTCGTAATTCGTGAATATTATACGTGATAAGATAACAGAACGATCACTCCGTGACTCTTTTGTCCGTTAAATATATGTCGGTACCGTTTAATGTTTTATAATTTGATATTTCATCAGATAAGGAAATTGCTGATTTTACCAAGGCCTCTGCGGTAACTTCACTTATCCTGTACCACTGATACAGTGTGTGGATCGAGATACAGTTTCTGTTGTCTGAATATAGGACAACTGTGATTTAGGTTACCGTGCTTCAAGTTATTGAAGTTTATTCAAATTTAAACGTCGAACCCTTTGTTTGAAAACGAGGAAATCTTGTATTTGCAAACGTGAAGAAGTTTCTTTTAGAATTACGCCGTGTTTCCGCTCATGCTGGCGCTTTGCAAGAACGCCTACGGAAATAAACTTATGAACTTCCATTGGAACTATATATTGGATTTACAAAGTAAAGGAATCAATCGGATCACCGAATTAAAATCCGAGTTCTGATTAAAAATGAGGCTACTGATTATTAATATAATTATAGATTTTATTTTGATATAGCTATTAATATAATTATAGTAAAATATATTCGTTTTTCGAGTACCTTCGTTCTAACAATTATTTTTGCTTACAGATATTTCGCATTCGCCGAGATGTTGGGCCTACTTTTAATAGTAGCCGCTCTTGGTACATCGGCATTCGCCAGTAATGGCGAGATGGTGGAGCAAGAATGCCCAGTGGATTGCCATTGCCACTTTTTCCGCGTCAACTGGGTTACCGACTGCTCCGAAAGCAATTTGACTAGTATACCGATCGATGAGCTTAGCCCGAACGTCTACATTCTGGATATGAATGGTAACAACATCGCAGAGATCGGTTCATTTCCTCATTCTATCAAGCTGAGGCGCCTCCAGATGGCACACAATCGATTAACCGAGCTCAAGCATGAGTCATTTGCCGGATTAACTTATCTGCTGGAAGCAGACTTTTCGTCAAACGAAATTACTCATGTTGATCCCGAGGCATTCAAGTAAGAGAATATATGTATATATATTTTCTCCTTTGACTCATATTTTATAAATAATGTATACATGCATAGTTAGAAGGAAATTGTCTCACTTGTTCCCTGTCCAAATAAGAAATCAGAAATAGCTTTCCACTTTATTTCAAAAATTACTTTTACTTTATTTATAAAACATAGTATGGAAGTTTGTTATTTTCTAAATTAACATGTACTAAATTATACATGTAACATTTAAGTTTGATACTTAAGGAAATCTGAAATAAAAGTGTTGATTTATTCAATGTTTCAGGGAAATAATACAATTATGAAAGAAATATAAAATATTACAATTTTCTGTTGTTTTCAAAGTTTGTAAATTACGTGCAACAAATATTATCAGGAAGTGTTATTTGTTAATTTTATTTTTGTATTATTATATTTCACTTAAATAACAAATATCAGTCTAGCTTACCAATTGTTCAGTATCTCAGTAACTTAATTTCCTTCGTTTGCACGTTTTGCCTATTAATTATCACTTTCTTGCAACGTCAACAAAGATCAGCTATTTTATATCTCTTACAAGGAAAGCGCTCATTTTGCAGATCTCACAGTTTCAGCATAAATGAAAGATATGTTACAAAAAAAGAAAATTGCTTTAACCGTACAACACGCCTTTGCACACGTATTACTATAATCACAGACTTAATGCTTCAACAGGGACAATCCAGGTTTAATTACGCTGGAGCTTCAGAACAATCCTCTGGACGAAGTGAAAGGTCACTTTTTAAATTCTCGTACTCTGCTGTACCTCGATCTGAACACGTGTGGAATCCAACGTTTGAACACCCAATTTTTCCACAACACCACGAATCTGAATAAACTCGACTTGTCCCATAATCCACTTGGACGAATTGAGCCTGGACCATTCGATCATCTCACCAATCTGGAGTACCTAAAGTTGAACGGATGCAACTTGACTTATGTCTCTTCAGTCGCGTTTGCCAACTTGGAAAACCTTCGAGAACTCGAAATGGCAGAAAACGATCTACGCTCGTTGAGCTGGACGAGCTTATTAGCACCTCTGATTCGTCTGGAGTACCTGAACATCAGGAAGACCGGAATCTCCAATCTGCCAGGTGATGCATTTGCAAAGAATTTGTACCTTAGGCAATTGGTTCTTGCCGATAACGAGTTGCATCATCTGGATATCAGAAATACGCTGGGCCATAATTTGCATAGCCTTCAGTCACTGGATCTGTCAAATTGCAATCTAGAAGGTCACAATCTGTCAGCAGAGGCTTTCAAAAATACTAGTAAACTTCGCGTATTGAACCTGAGTGGCAACCCCATGTTAGCAACCGATTTGCCGGTTTTACTACTTCATCTGCCAAAGCTTCACAAGTTATCATTGAGCAACTGTAATTTACGACGTCTTCCGAATGCATTCCACATCTTTGAGCACTTGGAGGAGCTAGACATCTCACATAACCCACTGTCAGGAGCGTTCGATAATATGTTGAACCAATTAGAGTCATTAGAATACCTGGATATGTCTTATTGTAACCTTGGTTACGTTGGAAATAACACATTCGCCTACATGACTTCTCTGAAGAAATTAATACTATCAGGGAACAAACTGCATACCCTAGAAGAGGGATTATTTGCAAACCTGACACGATTGGAAAGTCTGGAATTGAACAATTGTGATCTAAAGACTCCCATAGACCCTAAGGTATTTGGCGACCATGATAGTACCAATATCGTTGAACTGAAGCTCAGTGGAAATCCTCTGGAGGTGCCTGAGAATGGTTCCCTTCTTCCAACGCAGTTCTCCAATATCGAGATCCTGGATCTAAGTAACTGCAATTTGATACATCTGAACGAGAACCTATTTTCGAGGACCAAGTATCTAACCCAATTGAATCTATCTGGCAACAGCATTGCCGGGCCAGAGAACCTAGTCTGTCTGAAGAAGCTACGTATGCTGGAGCATCTAGACCTCAGCAACAATTATCTGCGCACTATCAACCCGCGAGTGTTCAAGGCGAATCCACGCTTGCTAACAGTCAATTTGCTTGGTAATCCGTTCATGTGCAACTGCTTTATCACAGACATGTGGGACTGGGCGATGCAGGTAAAGAAGGACCTACACGTGCTCGTTGGTAGCCAACCAGCAAATTTCGAAACCGGCGCAGCGAAACTGAGAAAGAGCTTATCGTGTACCTACGACGAGGCAACCTACCGTCAGCTCACGGAACAGGCACGCGCCAGTGCTGACCAGCGTCGCCTTAGAAAAGGGGATCTGACCCCCACCCGTACCTGGGCGAAATACGTCCGCGAGTCGAATTGCGGCCGTAGTTCATGATATATAGCGAACAAATTTCAACACCCGATATTTGATGTCTATAACGAAGAGAAACACGGTGTAGAGAGGGATGAGCTGTAATGCATCTTGAAGCAGCGAATGTACACACATGTATGGGCTATATATAAGGAATGGTACGCGATACTGTCTAGTAATTTATCAAGATTCTATCCCGAAGAAAGCCAAATATGCCTCGTCACTTCCACGGTATATGACTTTATTTTTGTAGGCGATTTAAATAGGATTAAGATGTGTTGGTAGTAAGCGTGTGCCAGACGTCAGGACGGTGAAATATTTTCTAAGGGAAGCTCGGGATGCATCCCCGTTTGAATGGAATTTGTACTCTACTTTTCACTGGCATCGTCATCTTTATGGAATCACGCTGAATGGCTGTGATCGATCACCTATAAGCGATGACGACAACCGTCTTCAACAAACTGCCCTTCTCTGTCCGTGGCAAACATCTTTATACATTGGAGCGAAATTCGAAAACGGTGCAATACGTCTAGGGTCGGTTGGCATGATTAATGTAACGAACGGGGATGAGATGGAAAAAATATTTATCGATCGACGGAACAACGGAAGGTTCTCGAATTATCAATCACCTCTTTCACTTTGAGACCCTTTTGTGCTTCGTCGACGCTTTCTTTTTCCACGTTGATGCGAGAATTAATGGTCGAAAACCAGTTTAAGACCATTCGTTGTTCCCGATGACAATGGTGTCGTGTTTTTAATTAATCGCGCTCGCTGATCAAGCCACCCTTATATTCTCTGCCTCTGTTACACTCTTACAAGGGCTCGTGTATAACAGAATTTAACCGAATCGATAATTGCTCGAAGACTGTAATAGAGGAATTGAAATCCGAATAGAGAAGATTGATGCCTGTTGCGTGAAGATCTGTGAACTCTCGAATTCATAACAAAGTGATGAAGTTTTTGAAAGAAGCGTACCGAGCATAGATTCTATTTAAGCGTTGATGATGAACGACGTAAAGTCGTGCTAGCCTCGCGTAAGCATGTCGCGATTAATAATTATGAGGCCCTTGCATGTTCGTATGTATACTTGTATCTGTTATTTTCCTGTTATTATATGCCATCATGTGTTACATAAGCTCGTATGGATGTCGCCAGGTATAATACTCCGTTCGGAAGAAAACTCAATTGTTCGAATTATTGACCCTCGACTGGGACCCGGACTAAAACTGGTCATACTGTTCTTTCATTGTTAAGTTGCATTGGTTCAGTGAAATTTACGATTCTTTAACAACATTTATAATTATTAATTTTGTAATTCGTCGTTCATGCTACAAGTTTAACGTTCGAGTAATTTTGTTAAACAATCGTTTCAATCGTCTGACTTGTTCCACTCTAACAGTTGAAGGTTAATGTCATACGATTTACTATGCTTTGTTCTTTATATATTTGTTACATTTAATTGTTACGTATTTATTTTATCTACGATTGTCAGGAGTAGCATTACATTTTGCATTTGTTGTTAGTTTCCGATTAATGACACGCGCCAAGAAACATTTATCCCAATGTCTATTCTTAGTTTTAAAGTTAGTCTGCTCTCTTTTATGCGAATATATACGTAATCACGCGTTACTTCCTATTTCAACCAAAAAGTGTTCTCTGGCGGTGTCCATGTATAAATACAACGTACTCCTGTAGTACTGTAAATTTCATTCCTGAGCTATTCATCTCTCAGATGGGACAGTCATGATATAATTCTAGCTTACATACCTATGATTTTGTCGAAGAGATACGTTAGCAGGCTTTGTACGAATTTGGATAAAAGTATATGTATGACCTGTAAAAAAATGGGTATGTGAACTAGATCTTTAATCTTGCTGTCGCTTAGAACAAACATGAGTAAAATCTGGTGCCGATACAATTTCACTATGTTCATGAAATGTATAAGACTGTATTTAATAAAGGAGTCATTTTTCTTGATATAATTTGCACCTTTTTTATTTTTATACTGATGAATTATACCGCGGTGAATTATAAATATGACATTACAAAGTTTGGATTAAATATATCTTTTATTATAAATTTAATTACTTAAATTTATCTAATTTAAAGTTTGTTAAAAATTGTTGTACCGTAACGAGCGTATAATTTTTTGTATTATGTAATTCGAATTTACTCAAATGATTTCCGTTAGGATACAGATTTTATCGACTCATGGTAACAGTAGTTTTATCGATTCTCGATACAATATTTTTAATGATTTTTCAAAATAAGCACAGAACTATAAATCAAGTTATTGAGTATTGAGCAAAATTTATATATTATTATAATAATACTATTGTCTAATATTGAGCGATGGTTAAATAATTATAGGAAGTAAGATCGATAATAAATTAATAATTCGCATTATTTAGTTCCGCTAATTATTTGTCATTTCTGAAAAATTATGAGTAATTAAAACAAAAAAATATAATATTATGAAGAAAAGATGGATGCTTTCACCAGCTATGATATTTATTTACTTGCATTATACTTTCTTGATCGGTTCACATTTAGCCACATTAACCGCAAATTTATCTAGATGTTTTCCTGTCTCGAATAAAAAAACATAAAATCTAGGGTTACACCAGTAATTTATAATACTATAATTAAATAAATTAAACAATTAAATTAGAAATGATAAACTATGTCCGCAATCGATTGCTGTAATCGATTTATTTTTTAGTTGCTAATAGATTATTTCATATCGATATTCCATTTTACAAATTGTACACTTGATTTTCATTACCTACGTATTATTAAAATTAATGTAAAATTATTCGAGAAATGGTGCTGGTAAATAAAAAGAAAATAGCATTGAATGTATTAAAAACAAAATTTTAGCAAGTAAGGAAGCAACAGAAAAGAGCGAATAATTTAACTCTGCTTGAAATTGAAGTATAAGTAGGGAACGATCTCGCCAAATTATAACCCTGTATAAAATAGGCGGGATTTATTGAAAATAAACGGTGTGACACACATTAAGCGACACATAAACTGTACTCATGAATACAAGTACAAGCGAAATGTCGTCGGCTTAGAGTTACATTCGTTACGTGTATACGAAGCTTTATCACGATTGTATGGATTCTGCACTATGTAAAGTTCGATGCTTTAATGCAATATAGACAGATACAGGTAGGTAGAAAAATACTACATTTCTGTAGAACGTATTTAAAACATTCCCGTTACGTTGCGTTAATGTTGTACGACTGACGAAGACATATGTCTCAATAATATAGATACATTGAGAAAAAATTATTTTTCATCTACTTCGCAATCCTGCATGCAACGATATTAACATTGCCAACCACGGTTTAACGCGTACAGAGTAGCTGAAACGAATCAGTTGTACTGGCAATGCCAATATAAAAGTTCAAACCGTTGCATTACATAATTCGCTATATACTTTGCACACGACTCCCATATTTCTGGACGCGTATACATACACACTGATGTGCATGAGTTAGTCTCTATGAGTGTGGGAGCGGAACCATTGGCGTACACGTGACTGAAGCTCGAGTGCACGTCTATGTCTGTATAGTCGGTGCACGACTAGCAGTACCGGTCGGTCGTCTAGAAAGCTAGTTGGCTGTCCAATTATTTGAACGCGCGTAGCGCGAGCCTGTTCCAATGCTTTGCAATCGGTTGTTCGCTACCGGCATTCGGCGAGCAAGGATTGTCAGCGGACCCTACAATCATTGACGTTCACGTCATACTAGTGTCAGCAATCTGTCGGACGTATCGATAGAGTGCACGATGATGAGTTTACTCGAACCACTTCTCGACATTCCGACAGCCTACTACGGGGCGCTGCTGGGCGTCGGATTCTGCATCTACTACCTTTTCGAAGTCGTTAAAGTGAGTAGTACGACATATCGTCTTCTTTGTCATTTTGTCATCATCATTATACAAATTTACGCATTACGAATTGCTCATGAATGAAGCAGTGAAAAGGCGAAAATAATGACTCGTTGAAAAATTAAGAGGCTGACTCACAGGCTATATTCGGTGCTAAATAATTTTATTGCGGCGACACCGATGACGTATATATTTTATAAAAATATAACGAGTATACCACGTTGTTTTAAACTATGTTAAAATATCAGCATCGTTTCTAAGAAAAAAGAGATTGTATATACAAATTATTTTCGGACTAGTAATCTAAAATCGTTGCTTAAATATTTCATGGAATCGAAAATGACGGAATTTTATGAATTGAATTCAAATGTTAAATTAAAGCATATATGGCGATAGTTATCATTTATTCGCAGATTTTTATTTTCATTTAATTCAATTAGCGCCGCATTTAGTTCAGAGTCATGCGTGTATGGCATCTGCCTTCATTCTATTAATGTCGTTTAAAAAGATAATAAACTTCAATTCTGAAGTCGTAGTCGATGACTATAGGTATATCGATAAAGAAATGAATTTTAAATTCCAAAACAGAATTTTTACATTTATATGCGTAATATAAAATCATTTTGAAATATCGTTAAAAAAATGTAATAGTAGTATTCGATTGATTTTAATATTCGACGGATTTCACCAGTCGAAAGACATTCTTATCATATATTTTATTGATCAAGCCGATATATTATCAGGATTTTCGCGATACGAATACTTCGAACTCTCACACGACCCTTTATGGTTCGTACAAGCCACGAGGAGATGTACGATCTATTAATTTGACCTTAAAACTCCATGGCACTTACCCCGGACAAATTGTGCGCGCATTCGTGTGCGCGCGCAGCGCATGCGACACCGGAACAGGTGACATCGTACTCACTAAATAACTACGCGAATCAAGAATAATGTTAAATAAATGAATCTGTGTTTTAAATACTAGAACTACTAATTTAGTCAAAATGGCTGTTTTCAGAATTTTCCTTTTTGAGATTACTAAAAGTATACATGTACATACTTTTAAAAAACATTAGCGTTGACTCGGATTGAGATAAAATTGTAATTAATATATTTACATATCTACGTCGTTCCGCTAAAAGCACTATTGTCTATGCCCGCTATGTTTGAATACCTAGTAAACTTATTTTTCCATCTCACTAAAAGAACTTGAATATTTTAAAACAGTTGCTAACGTGACAAGGAAATTAAAAGATATATAGATAAAAAATGCAATTTGTTAAAATCAGAAAAATATGAATATTAAAATCTTGCTTTTATGCAAGGTTAAATCTTGTGAGGTTACGCTTATGAACAATTACACAGGTCAGTGAAACATCTACTTTAAAAATGCGCTTTGAAAACCGTGTAGTAATATCTTTTTTGTAGTATTACGTTCGTTGAAAGACATAGAATAGACCGATTTAAAACCAATTACAGAGCCACTGTACGGAGACTATATTGAGCTCCTTACAAACACGTGCAACGAGCTGTAGTTTTACTAGTGGTTGAAGCGTTAATTGAAACAGAGAATATTGTATTTACGTACATCAGTGTTCTTTTCTGGGTTTTTACAATGTCGATATAGCCAGAATATCAAAATCGATATCTTCTAAGAACAAACTTAGTCATTCCCCAACATTAGTCATCGTCGAATAATCTTTTTCGGTAATAATTATATCTTTTCACACAGGTGTTTATTAGGCAGTAAAATTAATATTGCGAAATAAAAATATAAAATTTATTTTAAAAAATTCGTAAAAATTTCATCATTTTTATGTATAATCGGTCATGTAGATCGTGTCATACCTGCATTATGATACATAATACATGTAACATATACTTTAATATGTATACGCGATATTTCTATCAAATATATAAAAATATTGGTTGCGTATGTCAAAAAAATTTAAGGTTTTTAATTACTTCCATGAAAGCGTATATAATATTTTATCACTTTCGACATCAGAGATTAGGGAACAAAAGAGTTTTATTACCATTATCAAAAAAATCTTTTATCATTGAATCGATAATATTGATCGTAATCTTTAAAATTTTTCTAATAAACGTAGTACACATGTATTTGTATTATATTTACCGAAGAACTCATAAGAATGATAAAATATTTCGACTACTCCGTGACTACATTGACTATATTAACAGACTATACTATTGTTTCCTTCAAAGGAATGGGGATAAAAATAAGACGGAAGTAAAAGAGGTTAGAAAACGAAACTACTGAAATGGTTACACATCGAATACAAAGAGTGCAGAAAATAATCGTGTATGTTTGTTTATGACACTTGTGATTCATCTAGTTAATCAGTACAGGTAATTACAATAATAGCTATGTACCGATTAAAGAATACTACAGAGGTGAATTTAATTTACCATCCTTTACCGGTAAATTACGATCAGATAAATTTTCACTGCAATGTTTCTACGTACGTTTATTAATTTCTTTAATTGCCATTTAATGAAATTTTTGCGAAATATTAACATTTGTAAAAAAATGATTACTATCTACTATATATTTTATTATTACCTATTATTGCTCTGTACTATATTAATTGCATTTGTGTATCGGCTATTGTTAACAGTTTTTCGAGTTATTTAGTCGTGAATAAATACATCGTTTTAGTTTCTTTCGTGCCTGTAAATTATCTTCAATCCCCCACAGCTGTTCAACTTTAATGCTCGTCGATCGCGCTACTCATTGCGACCAATAAATTGATTTAAAAAATGACAAGCCTTCTAAATGACTTTCAGACGCCGATGTTGGTATGTGCGAATGGACCATTTCGATCGTTTCTAGAAGAACATGTGCCTTTGGTGAGAAACAAATTTTGGCCAACTTTATGGTGTTTCGAATCGCGAGCACAAACCATCATGGCGAGTTTTCTTAGATCGCGAATCTTGCCACCTATTCACTATCGCAGGTTGGTAAGTTTACCTTTAACATTATTGTTATTTTTCTGCAAAATAAATTTCCTCCAGGTAGAGAAGGGGAAAGACTATAGTAACAACGAAATATTATTACTCAAAATAAAGAAAGAAAAAAAAATTAATTCAATTGAAAAGTGAAAATATTAAAAATTAAAAAATTGAATTAATTGTTTAAATTTAGTAAAATTTAATTTATAATTTTCATGTATAATTTTAATTCATAGTTTTAATTACATTGTTTTATAAATTTTAAAAACTTGTAAATTTGTATTTTAACATCGTAAATTTTACGATATTAGTAAAATGTATTCGTATTATTTTTCTCTCTTGTAGATCACATTTTTACCGTTTTCGGTATAAGAAAATGATTAAAACGCTAATTATTCCGGGAAGTGTACTTTTTTTTCTTATATTAAAACACATTTTCTGGCATGGTACAAGCAAAGATTAATGAGCACTGGTCTCGAAGTACCCGATTACAAGCTAATTACCAGACTCGTTTACTTCGAATCTAATTAATCAATCGTTGTACAGAGAGATCCTGACCTTGTCGGATGGTGGTGAAGTAGCCCTGGATTGGGCGGAAGAGGGATGTTCTACAACTTCGCCCATCGTGATCATTTTACCAGGACTTACCGGTGCAAGTCAAGCGGAATATATCAAGTGCCTTATCTCGTCCACGAAAAAGGTTGGAATACGATGCGTGATCTTCAACAACAGAGGGCTAGGAGGCGTAGAACTGAAGGTACAGCAATACCTACTGGAAAGTTGATTTATACTTTCTCCAAACTTTTTGTAAAGCTTCTGTAAATTAAAAAATTTGTATATTTTTATGAAATTTTTACACGAAAATGTGAACATTAAGAAAAAGTTGCAGAAATCTTTAAGTGACCTTGAGATTGAACTGAAAATTAAATTGAATAATACCTTAATTTCAGACTCCTCGAATGTACTGCGCTGCAAATAGTGACGATTTATCAGAAGTTATTGAATATGTAAAAACAATTTATCCCAATGTACCTCTTGGAGCAACAGGAATCTCTATGGGAGGGTAATGAGAAACATTTCTTGCAACTAAAGTTGTACAAATTATACAAATTGTATAACTAATTGACTTGTAATAATCATAAGCTTCAATTGCATACATCATAAATATTTATTAAAAGGCACATTTATTAATTATAAAAGATATAATTAATATCTAATGACTGCATAAATAATCGTATAAAAATTATACTGTAAAATAATGTTTTTGTTATGAATGTATTTTTTCAGATTAATTTTAGGTAATTATTTAGCACAGCAAAGAGTAATGGCAAAGGCTAAACTCAAAGGCTGTTTCCTAATTTCTGTACCGTGGAACGTGTTTGCCGCAACGAAAAACACTGAAGAAAATTATTTTAATTTGATGATAAATAAATATCTGGCTGGTTCACTCCGTAAGAACATACAACGCTTGCACTATTCTTCGGAAACCGGAATGTTTGACGTTGACATTGATACTCTCCTTAAAGTAAGCCTGTTTGAATTTTGATTATTTTTATTGAATAACTGTACGAAGAAATATTTGTTTATTTGCTTAATTATAAGAATATTATTTTTTATGTAATGTAGAGTCAAACTGTGCGAGAATTTGATTCACATTTTACGGTGAAACAATTCGGATATAAAGACGTCGAAGAATACTATTCCAATGCAACCATACATGACAAATTACACTTGATTGATGTACCATTATTGTGTCTCAGCGCTGCAGACGATCCATTTCAACCAGTTCAAGGTAACTTATTATTATCTTAATTAGCCAACCGATTGCGTTACTTACACTTATTTCTAAAGATTTATTTATTTAATATAATTTACTTACTTGAGATAATAATTCCCTCGATATAATTTGTTCTTTTAAATAATTTTCGTAGCCATACCATTAAAGGAAATATCACAAACTAAAAAAGTAGCTGTTGTTGTAACATCTCGTGGTGGCCACATTGGTTTCCTTGAGGGGATGTGGCCAGTAAAAGAAGAACAATACATGGGTAAACTATTTTCACAATTTTTCACCGCTCTATTCACTACTGGTTTTGATCATCAAACGTTGTGACGAACTTATAAATTAAGTATCAAATACATTCACAAATATCAATACCAAATATTTCGTCTACGTTTGGGCATTGCGTAAAAATTATCACGTGCCATAATTAATCGTATTCAGGGTATTGCACATGTGATGTTAATAGTATTAAGAATTATTGAATTTTCACCGCTTTTATATTCAAAAAATTATCATCGATGACCTACAAAATATTAGTTACTAATATAATATAGATATAATTTTTTACACGCACATAGCGGAAAATGTGTAAGAATGAAATGCACATGTCCATTTATACGTTTATAATAATGGTAATCTTTTTACTTTTAACGTACTAAATGTTTATTACGAACTTTTATTATGCATATCTATAATCAAATTAAAATAAGTAAACTCCTAGTTTTACATTTTTGCTTTATATTTATGCGGATTTAATTTGTCGAATTTAATTTGTTCAAAATATAATTTTATAAAGTATAAAGAAATAATTTATTTAAATAATCATATTTAGCACAAAATTATAATAAAAGAAGTTCCTGAAATAATTAATAGTATTTGAATAGTACAAATCATTATGCTAATACTATTCCTAAAAATTATTATTGAAATTTGTTTAACAAATTGTGTAATTTTAAAATAAAGCGGTTGAACTCACGTTTATGGATTACGTATTGTTAATTGTGATACTAGAAGCAAAAAATATTGTTAAATTTTATATATAGTTTCTGTTACAAACTTTATAAATAAATATTGTAAAAAATATATACTGAAATATGTCATAATATTATCTTTCCTAATAATTTCTTTGCGTTAAACATATGTAAACGTGAAATTCCAACAATATACTTCGATAATAAAAGGTATTCTTGTTATTTAATATTCAATAAGAAATTAATTTGATAATTAATATAAACAATGATAGCATAAATTGAAAAATGTATTTTGTTATATCTCATGGAAGATACAAACTATGGTAAATTACATGAATTTTATTTGATACAATAAAAATTTTTGTTATAAAATAAATTTCCTAAAAAGCACTATAGATTATTTCGAAACAATATTTTGCAATATGTACGATAATAATGTAGAAACACTTTTCGTGTATAGCATAATACTCTCAAATATATTAAAATTAATCCTGTCCAATATTATTGTTAGGAACAAACCAGCTTTCCCATTTTTTCTCCATTCTAATGTATTACATGCATGTTAGTAATATTGTATTATCTACACATACATGTTCAATATGAACGTAATACAACGATCAAAGGAGAAAAAAATACAAAAGATTTGATCCATGGACAAAATTGAGTTAAAAAACTTACGTATAATAAGAGTATTAATATTTTTGATATATGTTATAATTTGAATTCTAAGTTCAATGATTTTACAATAAATGCTAAAATGTCCGTACTTTGCTCGATCTGAAACAAAGTATTTTATAGTAACAATGTCAATTACAAACAAGAAATAAATTATTTACAGAATACTAACAACTTTCATAGTTGGTTTTCCACCACCATGTCCAGCTTTAGTTTGTATTTTAATTAATAAGGGATTCGTTTGTTGCGGAAGTTTTCCCAATGTATATTGCAGAGTGGCAATAAGTTTTAAACTATGTAACGGTACTACCCGATCATCATGATCTGCAGTCAATAATAATGTTGCGGGATATTGTCCATTTTCCGGAATTTTTACGTTATGTAATGGAGAATATTTCAGAAGATTTTCAAAATGTTTCGGATCATCCGAACTACCGTAATCAGACACCCAAGCAACACCAATAGTAAATTTATGGAAACGTAACATATCCATTACCCTATACGATGAATATAAAATATGACAATAAACACAAAATGAAAAACAAAAATATAGTACAAATAAATTGATTGTATCAACTTACCCAACTTGAGCAATTGCAGCACCAAAAAGATCAGGTCTTTGATTTATACATGCAGCAATTAATAAACCTCCGTTACTGGCACCTAAGATACTTAATTTTGAAGAAGTACTATAACCCTTTTCGATCAAATATTCTGCAGCAGCTTGAAAATCATCGAATACATTCTGTTTGTTAAGAAATCGTCCACCGTTATGCCATTTTTCTCCATATTCGCTGAAACGAATTGCAAAAAGAATGTTATATCAGTAGTATATTCCTCTAATGTCAATAATTTCCTAACTTACCCGCCACCACGAATATTAGCCACAGCAAGTACTCCATTTAAATGCTGAACAAAAACCAACTTTGTAACGGTAAACGTCGGTTGAATGCTTACATTAAAGCCTCCATAACCATACAATAAAGCTGGCATAGAACCATCCAAAATTGCATCCTGCATTGAAAATTTGTTACTATATTTCTTTTAACAGAAATATAATAAATTATATGAAAAATACCCACATGTTTCATTACTATAAACATTGGAATTTTTGTACCATCTTTACTTGTATAAAATATTTGACTAGTCTTGTATAAACTTGAATCAAAGTTTTTCACCTTAATCTCTCGTAATACCTGTAAATACATTCTTTTATATATATAAATGTACAACTTCTTTTAATTTTCATTCATGCAATTAGTGGAAATATTATTTATTATTCGTTATTATTTATAAAAATAATACTAACTTGTGGTTCTTCTTCATTTTTTAAATCAATTCTATATATAATACCAGGAATTAAAAATGATTCGAACTGATAAAATATTTCGGAATAATTCTTTTGTCCTGAAAAATTAACTATTGTGCCAACATCAAGTGGAAATGATTTAATTTTTTCACCCGTTTTTAAATTGTGTAATTGTAAAATATTCTAAAAAAAATATACAATACTATTGATATTTCAACTTCATTTTTATTTTAATGAATACTAAATTTTGTCATTATTATATTATATTTTTCTGAATTGAAATTTAGTAGCTCATGGTTACCTTGACATCTTCAATATAACAAGCTACAAATTTGTCACCATCAACTGCACATGCCCAATCTAATACATTATCAGGATGTTCTGGTAAAAGATCAATCCATTTATCTTGCTTATAATCCAATAAATCTATACCTATTAATTTGTAATTTGGAGCATTTTTGTTTGTCCGAAATATCGCCTTAGTACCATTATTTGTCACATACTAATTAAGAAAAATGAGATAAGTAATATAAAAAAATTAAAAAATATAGGTATTCATACTATATACCACTAACCTCATAATCAGCATTAAGTTTATCAATTATTTGAGTTAATTGTAACTTTCCAGTTATTTTCATCTCTGGTGTTAATTCCGTAAAGTAAACTAAATTATCCTTACAATCTTTCATAGGTAGAGCAATTAACCATTTTCCACAATCAGAAACTTGTGCACCTCTAATGACAAGGAAACATACGTAAAAAGTGTATTAGATTATACCCAAATAAACGTGTTTTTGTAAAATAGTCAGTATGTAATTACAGACATCTAACATCAATCAATATTATTGAAACACATATACAATATGTTACCCACATCCTCCATAAAGGTTCTTCAGGAAATTCAACTACAATAACATCTTCTGACTGAGGTGTATTAACAACGTGGTAGCAAAGCTTTTGGTTTCGATTACCTTCTGTTTCTGAGCCATCAGTTTTACCTTTTTGGTCTGGATAACAACCATAAAAGATTCCACGATTGTCATGAGTCCATGTTATTGGAGAGAATTTTACTTTTTCCAACACTTCTGGGTATTTTTCACCTGTTATTTAAACAATGAAATAATACTTATTTAAACTGATAACATTTCTCCTACACATAAAGAGTAACATATTGGAGTATAAATTTTACATGTTTCTGTATTCATAAAGTGAATTGTACACCAGTCTGATCCACTACTAGATAAACCATATGCATATATGCTACCATCTTCACTAAATTTACTACTAGTAATTGCAATAGTTCCATCTTCTGATAAAGTATTTGGGTCTAAAAATACTCTAGGTTCACTATCCAATGTATCTTGTACATAGAGAACACTAGAATAAAATAAATACTTGTATATACTTCTGTGTAATAATATTAAACTCAAAATAATATTTATCATTTTTACCTTTGGTTTTGTAAGCCAGTATTCTTATAGAAATAATATTTATTTCCATGTCTAGCAGGACATGAATATTTTGGAAAATCCCATAACTGTTTTAATCGATCATGAATATCTTGACGTACCTTACAGGAAGCTAAATATGGTTTAGTTACTGCATTTTGAGCATCAACAAATGCTTTAGTCTTTTCAGAATCAGGATCTTCTAACCATCTATATGGGTCTGCAACCTAATGAAAAACATTATAAAAAGTTGTCATTTTGTTTCCAACACATATTTTAGATTAGATTTATCATTGTATTTAATTAGTAACTAAAAACACATATCATACTAATATTAGTTTACAGGAATAAGATATTTCTGCTGTTGAAGAAATATTAGTACTTATAAATATATTTATATATAAAGTTTATTAAAAAATACTATTTTTTTCCTTATTCTAACCTCAACACCGTGATAATTATCGACAATGGTTTCATCACGATACACTTCAGGATATTGCAAGTTTTCCATTATTTTTTGATTTTCTATGTGTTCTTGTATCGTTGAGTTTAGCACCTGAATTTTTTTTAAGACAATATAGTTAAAATTACGACGATATTACTAATAAACAATCGTGATACTAAAAAACCTTACTTTCACAGTCGAAAAAGCCGATGTGCGAATAAATTGTGAACGCTTACTAACCGCAAATTTCAACAAATTCTTATAAAAGCTACTTTGAATTTTACACGAACAGATTTTTGTCAGCGTGTTTGCAATTAAGGACACAGCCATGACATGCATTTTTCACGCGTATTATATACGAAAGTCATATAATTTTTTGTAATATACGAAAATATTTTCTATTAAAACCATAAATTTGAAAGATTAGTAAAACAATAGTAATTTTATTTATCTATGACTAGTAAAGTGCAGAATAATTGTTACTTGTGTTAATAAATTTATATTTATTTTAAATAATACTATTTGAAATAAATAAGAGCAATCAAATATTTGTTTATTTCCTATTTATACATTATTGAAATATCATTATAAATGATACAAAAGTGTACGCATTAAATATTTTTGGTATATCTTTAATAAATTCGATAATGTAAGCATACATATGCATTTAAATATAGCAATTTATAATTACGCACAAGACGTTCATGGAATCTGTTTGCGTAAAAAATTTCAAATCTTATCTCATTCCTCACAAAAATGCAACAAAGCATAAATTCAGTTTATACGTGAAGCGTTTCTATCAAAATTAAATTGTAATCAACTTTTATATTAATGTACACAGTTAAAGACAATTTGTGTGATATTAGATAAAAATCACGTGATATTAAAAAGATTCCTAAAGAAAAGAGATACACACTCCAATGAGCCGTGCGTATGATAAAAGAAAAAATTTATATCAGAGTAATTAAAAATGTCATTTATCAACATTATAACTATAAATGCAATAGTAGCTAGCACGTGATACGGAAAAGTAGGGGATGTATTCTTATCAGTTGGCCTTAATTACTCCCTCTCATAGTTAGAATGTTAACTATAATAGGCACGTAAATTTGAAATACAATATACTATATACTATATACTAATATAAATTTTATTTTTAGTTTATGAAATTTATGTTATTTACAGTTGTTGGAAAAGATATTTATCGCAAGTTTTATAAATTTTGGTAATATTTTCCCAAATGTATCGTAATCACTTATAATTTTTAAATAAAATTTATTTTGTATTTAATTAGAAACTAATTTCAGTTTATAAAGTTTTCTCTTAATATGAATATATATACACATGTATGTAATATATATTATATATAATATTGTATATAATTAAATAATTCAATGATTATATTTTGAAATACGTAATATTCATGTAGAATAGTGTTTTTAGGCAAACATTTGTAATGTATGATGATGTTCATTAAAATATTAAGAGAAATTACAGGAGGCTATATAAGGTAATATTTACGAATTTGAAACCTAGTGGGGCAGATCAATCATGAAGAATAGCCTTAGGCAGTAGTGCGTTGCGTTATCGTGAGCGGGTCAGTTGTACTTTGTGCTGCGAACTTAGATAACCTCTTTCGTATGTTTAAAGACCCCCCTCTGCTTTCTCGAACTACGGGGAGTTTATATAACATCAAAATCCACTGCTAAAGTATTCATTGTGAATCGAGGAGTGCATAGGTGAATTTTAGTTCAGATCCATAACCGTGTGTAATTCATTCTCAAGTGCAGTAACTTCATAAAGGAAACCAACTACTTTATCTTCAGAACCTACGCATCAGCGGGAAGAGGTCGTTGTTATTACGTATATCGTTCGCGGGTAATTTGAATGTTTCTTTCCAATCTGTCAGCACACGGAGGAATGCAAAAGGACTGTCGGGATTGTTTAGGTCTCCGATACCGTATTAACTCCCTGGATCAGACGTGGAAGTGGTTGCATCAAACAATTGCCCTTCACGATTATCTGATTTCAATAACTGCCAGTCAATCCGACTTTTCAAGAAAGTCTTGTCAGTAGGACTGCTATCTACAGACAAAAATATTAACCATTGTCAAGGCTGATTTTGCCACGTACTTAGAAAAACCCTCACAGGTTTAGTAGTCGAAGACTGATTTCACGAATCAATATCACATTATTCCCAGGGAGTGCGGTTTTCATATCGGTACCTATACACACATTCATCGTTCGACTCACTGTCGTATAAAGAAAGGAGATAGTGTGTGTGTATGTGTACGTGTGTGTAAAATAAAGGAAAAGAAAAAGCCTACACGTGCACAACGCAAAATGTCTCTAATTAACAGATTTATGATCATTGCCAATCGAAAAGCTCATTACAACAATTTATATCATGTATGTAAATACTCAACGAGTTTCAATGAAAGGCAAGATGATCCTAACAATTCGATTACGAAGTCAGTATTCATATCGCAGTCCACAGATATATTCACCAATTTAGCGTTAGAAGATTGGTTTTATAGGAACCATAATTTAAAAAATCATCACATATTACTTTTATGGTGCAACAATCCGTGTATAGTAATTGGACGCCACCAAAACCCATGGATTGAGCACGACTTTAAACTGGCTGAAAAACGCGGTATAGTGCTGGCGCGACGTAACAGTGGTGGCGGTACTGTCTACCATGATACTGGTAATTTGAATCTGTCTTTCTTCACACCGCGGGAAAGGTATAATCGGAAATACAATTTGGACATCATTACCAGAGCTCTGTACCGAGAATGGGGTCTAGAAGCAGAGGTTAATAAACGCGAGGACATCATTATCGAAGGAAAATACAAAGTATCCTTTCATGTAATGTATCAAAATCTCGTATATATCTGTTTACTCAGGATGTTCCAAAATTATGTTTAATGACTACACTAGTCAATAATATATTTACTGGAATACTGAAAGATGCTGAAAGAAAGTTAGTTATTTTTAATTCTCTGAATTAATATCAACGTATCTGACTTGATTTAAGGAATTTAATGACATGTACAGTTTTTTATTTTTTAATGTGAAAGTTATTATATATTATACGTATGTATATGTAAAGTTTTATATTTTAATAGTTGTTAGTTTTATATTTCAAAATTTTAACGATACGTAACAATGCACTTTTTAATAATTTATATACATTTAATAAAACCAGAATACTATCATTAATAAAAACATTAACAGGGTTTGTTTATTTTTTTATTTATTTCATACAAATATTGAAAGACGAATTGGAACAACCTATTTAAAGACAAAGTCTCGCACTTTGCGAAAAAATTGTCTATGTATCCTTAACTATTTTAAAACGCAGATATCTGGTACTGCAGCGAAATTAGGACGGCATAACGCATATCATCACTGCACGCTCTTGGTGAATGTAAACAAAACAACTTTAGGCTTGGCTCTTGAGAAGAAAGAGGTACACTTTTTCCTCAATAATTATCACATTTTGCATAAGTACAAAGTTTACCGTACAACGCAGTAGAAATACATACAAGACGTTGCGAGATTATCATCTATAATTGCTATAAAAGATTTATTTCATTTTTATAATTTGTTAATATAAAAATATCTAATTCTTTTATTTGAATCTGTGTTATTTATTATAACACATTTTACGTCTGACTATTTTATTAAATCTATTTACATATTACAGGATGGTATAGAAACAAATGCTACAGCATCCACGAGATCTCCAATAAGAAATTTAATTGACGTAAATTCTCACATTCAAATGGACAAACTTATTACTGCTATTGGCTGGGAATATCTTCGCACTAAGGCTCTCGTTTTAGAAGACGGTGGACAGAATCTCATTCAACGTCAAAAAGGATTTCAATTTATTAACCCCACCGAAGATTGGTTTCCAGGTATATGGATAATAAAAATTAAGAAAAGAAATCTTTTGACATTGAAAGTAGACTATGTCCGGTGTGCGTATTGTCATACCGTTTTAATAATATTTATCGAAATCTTAACATGTTCACCGCATAAATTCCTAGTTTAGTAACGTTTAACTACTATTTTCAGGGCTAGACGAATTAACAAGTCAGTTTCGTTCGTGGGAATGGAATTTTGGTAAAACACCAAAATTTCTAGTAACACGCGTTGTAGACGTTCCTACTCAAGACAACAAAGTACATCAATTTAGATTAACGCTAGAAATCCAAAATGGTATCATCGAGGAAATCAAGATTAGGCTACCAGCCGCTTTGGTATCGAATGAGTTTAGTCAAGATGCGAATATGATAACTAATTTACGGGGTACAAAATATGATCACGAAGTAATAGAAAATATAATAACTACGATTGGATGTAAGACCGTTACGCTAAGTACGAGTCAAAAACAAGATAAAAGTAATATGATTGCTACTCAATGATGTAAGCCAACGAACAATCATAATGATTGTGTTTAAATTGTTATGTTTAAAGCGAGACTCAAGTTATTGTATAATAAATCGCACAATTAGCCTAAGCTAATTTGTGCTTTTACTTATAAACATATTGTTACTAATTGTTGTTACATGCATGTAATATACTGTAATATAAATGACAAAAAATGCACCTTTACATATGTGTGTTGTAACTTTATATTTTTACATTGTTAATGTATACATCACTCATATATTGTTCTTCTTAATAAATATTATCAATGAAAAAGATATGTGTATATGTATATTGTATTAATGTTGACTAATAATCACTTATCACTGGTTAAGTTACTATATAATGTAAAAAAAGAAAAATTAGGACCCTGAATAAGTTAAAGTAAGTGGAGATTAAAGTAAGTAGAGGTATACATTTGCACTTTGTCCCAGTCACACTGCAACAATAAGATACTTTCTGAAATTATGTATACCTTTCGCTATATACATCATTGATAGGGAAAACTGTAACTACTGATGGACAAGGATAGAGACTACGTCGGAACATAACCTCCCGGTATGGCGGTGGTGGAGTACCTGGACAAGATTCTATCAAATTTCTATCGCTATCTCTATACCCTTGTAAGTACGAATTCAGCAAGGAGTACTCTTGGGAAACTATTAACTCGTCATTTAATCGTTCATGGTGTCTGTTTCTTCGACAACAAGGATATTTTCTTGATAACCAAATATAAGAAATAACTAGTCCACTTGAAATACCGAATATAAAACCCAGACAAAGAAGGGAAAATGGTAGAAACTTGTGTACTGGATTCACGCTATAGGTTTGATTTATCATTTGTTCGCACATTGTTAAATTTATGTTGGTTAATGTACTTGATGAACCGGGTTTCGTTACCGATGTAGTTTTCTCAGTGAACACATCCGCATTTGCCGAATGATGATAATCGCGTGACTTTGTAGTGGGAAGAACAACCATCCTTTCAAATTTCTGTACGTATTCCTTTTTACTGCAAACTTCATCGAATTCGATGTTTCTATGTTTCAAATATGTTTGTAACTCGTGCATAATTTTATTACAGGACCATGGATTTCTGAAACAAATAATGTAAATTTTACTTATACTTTCTGATCGACTTCAATATACCTACACACGGTAACCTGCATCGATATTATTAATAATTTGAAATATCGAAGTAAGTATTATTAACAATAAATAGGACATAATTTAATTTTAAAAGTGGTAGTTCTATTCTTATTCCTAACAATTATCTTAATAAAATAACGTTATATATTAATTGTATACGTCTCGTTTATCGTCTTATTTACCCTTCTAATGATAATTTGTTCAAAAAATGCAGTGTTTGCACAACGTTGCTGCTCATCTGAATCATCAAATTGTTTGAAAGATCGAGGCGACGAACGTGCGTAAGTCCATCGAACGTGTCAGAAGGTAAGTGACTAATCTGACATGAATCCAAACTTAGCTCCTGCATAAAAAAATTATTTCACGTTGTTAAAAATGAAATTTTTATTGAACATAAAAGCTTTATCACTTAAATATACGCTCGACCTACAAATTTTAAGCACAATATTTTGTTGCTATAATAAAAAAAATTATTGTCTTTATTATTACCGTTAACCAAAAAGCTTGTAATTTCGGAACATGTGATCTGAAATTATTTTTCGACAGTTTTAAAATTTGTAAATTCTTATTCCCTTCGAAAGTTCCGTCCAAAATATAATAGAGTCGGTTGTTTGATAGATCCAGGACGGTTAAATCTGCAAGACCATTGAAAGCATTTAGATCGATTTCACTGATTGCATTCTTGGAAAGATTAAGATATTTTAGTTTCGTCAATCCGATATTCTGAAACAATATACAGAATTTTTCCTTATTACATGCATGCAGTATCATTTACTGTGTTTTAGTAAAAATATAATCAAAATTAAAGATCATTTCTAATTTTACCTTCGGCAATATTTATAATCAAATGTATAGAATAAAAATAGGTACAGTTTTGTAAATTGAAACATACCGCTAGTTCGAAACCACTTAATAATGATATCACATTATCCGATAAGTCCAAAGCTTGTACGTTGTTCGGTGCACCTGTATGTATACTGTAAAGATGGCGGCCTATGCAAGAAGCGCGTTCCAAACTGTACCAAGTGTCACACAAGCAATACGCAGAGCACTGTTGTGATGGTTGTGATAAAACTGAGATCTCGAAGAACAACGAAATAAGTAAAACGATCAAATAGATCTGAGGACCATTAGCCATGATACTAAAACTCGATAAACTTTGAAGATTCGTTAAACCAGTGTCGTAACTGATGATTTTCGTAGCAAATTCACTTCTGATAGAGATTGTTGCGTTTTCGTGTCGCTCATGATTGTCTCACTAACGTAATCTTATCTTACAACACGGCTGCGTGGATATCGCATAGATGTGTTAACGATCAAGATACGTCATTTTTCTTCATTTTTTTTCCTATCTTCATTCCCCTTCCCGACGGCAATCGTTTTTCTATGGGAAATACGAAACCATAAAAATTTCGAGAGCACAATTATTTGCTAGCTAATGTCTCTTTTTTTGAAATCTCCGTATTCGTGGCGACATCTTGGGAGATACCGAGTACTATTCCTTAAACAAAGCACAAAGGTTATAAGGATATAATTGATTTAGGCAAATATAGTGATTCGAATATGATAGTCTTTTCAATTTTACATTGGGATGATAAAAAGTGATTTTATGATATTAAAAGGAGTCTTCATTCTTTGAATTTCATATTTTTTGGATTTGTATTATTCAAGGAATAGTTGTAGGATATTTTTAAAAAATAAGATAAAGATAATGTTTACATTTTCTTATTGAAAAGATAATTGGAATGAATTATAGCAACTGTTTTATTCAAATAATACTAACATCATAACTATTTAGCGATTAAAATGCAAATTTTATTGTCTACAGTATTGTACACTTTTGAAGTTTAAAATATATGTAATTTATGCAGATATTTAAATAAGGGATCAGGATTGAATTACCTTATATTTCACTACAGAAGGTATGTCTAATATATTTTTCTGTATATTAATAGAAAAATGTTGTATATAATTAAAAATATCTAAATGTAAATAGAGAAGGAAATATATGCACATAATAATAAAACATGGTAATACTAAATGATAAAATTCATGTTATTACTTTCTTATGTAAATAAAATTTCTTGTTCCACTGTATACCGTAAAATACAATGAAAAAGTGATTCAGGTTTTCTTACAGCGTTGCTTCCTTATGATCAATATAGTGAAAGTGTAAGTATACTATAAGCTAGTTCTTCTATCTCTCGATTTTCATTTGACGATTCTTAAAAACCGATAAAAACCTTTTGTGGAAATTGTTTCCATGAGAACGTCGAAACGTGTTTAGCGTTAAAGAGGCACATTAATATAACACGGAGATGACTAAGTCTCCATTACATTGACAATAAGAAATAACATTACATATACACAACGAACATAATCACGCTGCTTTATACGACGAAAGAAATGGCAGTCGGTGACAATTAAACGTTACTCACTAGCCCTTGGCACCTCTTCGAAGCCAAACGAGGGGTAGCATTCAGTGAGCTAACAGCGCAACGTTTATTGCGCAACATCCACGGAAATAAATCTAGGATAGGCTGCTGAGAACGCGTGGACCGCTGCCTTCTATTCGGCCTTACCATCCCTCCCCACTGCCCCGTGCATCTTCCGGCCATTTTCATTGCTCGTCCTCCACGCCGCCATGACAAGCATACGGTATGGCACTGCAACTGCCTCACCTTTACCGACGACGCCGCATTCGATCGATTTATCGGTGTAACAACGTTTCTTGGTCAAGTGGGCTTCTCATCGATGTACTCGTACCTGCGTGCTGCTGGAAATCACACGAAACGTATGAGAAATCACGATCATCTACCGGTTTTCAAAAGTTGTTACGCATTGGCGAAGAAAATATACCTCTGCTGCTGCAGACTATCCACTCCATCGTGTTCCGTCACTGGCGCCCTCAGCTGACACGAAGAAGCAATTCAACATTATTGCATCGAAACACCGAGTCGATCACCGTTTTACGTCGAAAACCTATACACGCACAAGAAAAAGAGACAGTAACCATAAAACGTTGAATTCTGAGTCGAGTATGAATTAATATGTTTTCACTTAGTTTGATATACTTTGCGAATAGCACATATTTTCTGTTTAAATTAACAATACGTATATATCACTTCCGGTGTAGTGACAAGCCTTGGAAATAGCTTCGAAGGTGAGGTTCTTTGCGACACATTCTCCGAACGTCGAACGCCACGCGAAGATATTTCACTCGGCTTGTGTCGTCATCAACCTTCTCAGCTGACGTAAAATGGCCGCCTTCTACTGACAGCTGAACCATAAACACGGTTTTTCTCTGCTAAAACGATTTTTATTATCAGGAAACGTATATTTCGCCGTTTCGTACAGACATTGCTTCCTTAAAAAGTAGAAATCTTGAGAAAATTCAAGGTATTTCATTAAAAAGATGTTACAGTATGGTATACGAGCGGCAGTAGGAATATCTTAGGAAGTGAGATTCTTTGACACGAGCTTTGTACATATCGGCAGACTGATCACTCGCTTGGATTTCGTCACAAGCGTTCTCAGCTGACGACAAAATGACCGTTTTGTATATTTAACTACCAGCTGATTACAAAAGTTTCATTTATTAAAACTATGTAGAATCGATATTTCTATAAATATTTCTACGTTAATTTCACGGAGTAAGGCGATCATGTGTCAAATTTCATACGGGTTCGTACATAATCGACGTACTTTGCGTGCAGTGGAAAAGAGGGACGCCAGAAGGGACGCCGAGTACAGCCGTACGAAAAGAGGAGAGGGCTGAGTAAGTGGAAGGTCTTGACAAGCGAAATGCTTTGGCTAGGGTTCTAGTCTGCGATTTTTTCCCGTTCTTCTCGTTGTCCGGGCGGACGGCCAATGAGAGTAAGTAGGTCAGCGCGCGCGTCCAATCGGTGCTCGAGGCCGGGTCACGTGGGTTTGTTGTTATCTATCAGCTGTTTTTCCCGGGCGGGCGGGCGGCCGGCCGGCGCAGTGAAAGCCGCTTGGTAGTCTGTCCTCAGTCCCTCCCGGTCGCTCAGCTGTGCGTCACATGTCGGGTACCGCGAGTCCTACTCCTGCCCGTATATCATCGAATCGTGTACCGCTCGTTCGTTCAGGTTACCGTATAACGCCGGATTTCTACTCACCGGCAAGCGTTAGTCATATATTATGCTATCTACCGCGTGCATACCAACGTATTATCACAAATCAATCACGAAGTGCCTCGAACATGCGGACGGCGTGACAAACACAGGCAACGGTGCACGCCGTTTTGTTGATACATTGAGTTCTGTGTTCAGGCCGCGAAGGCCACCGCGTCCTTCCTCGGTCTAGGATCGCATTTGCTACCGTGATTGCAATTTCATGCAGAACTGCCCGATCTGTCCGCAGTGTACGAGTTATCGCGGAACGATGACCTAAAGCGACGTGTCGCAGCACGGAGTTCGGTGAAGTAGGAAGAAAACAAGTTCAAGTCGCACGCGTCGTATACGAGTGTTCTCCTTACCGGAAGTGTTTCTCCAAATATCCGACAGATTCTCAAGTACAATATCGACCGTACCGTTTCAATCGTCTCATACAAGTGTCGAACTGCATCGCGCGTGACATTGTTATTTTTCCTCGGTGTGTTATCAATTCGCTTCCGGCTTGTACGTTCGCGGTGTACGCGTATGTTTTTCAACGCGAGTTTCGCACACGTAACGGAAGGGTGCGCTAGACCGCGGTGCAAATGATTTTTACCAGAGACCATTTTGCGCGAGATACTTTCGAGAACGATTTGATACACAGTGTTTGGTAAGATACCGGTGTGCATCCTCGTCGAACGTTCAGTCGATTTAACGAGGTGTTCGAAACGAGCAGAGATCGTTTAACCATAGACAACCACAAATAATGTCGACGGGCAAGAGGCTGGCGAAACGCAGCATAATCGGCACCAGAGTGTGTGCTCCCGGCGAGGACGGGAAGTACTACAGTGGCGTCATTCACGCCGTAAAAACGCCGGCGTCAGCCGCGTCCGAGTCAGGCCTCAGCATTACACCCAAGACTCGCTACTCCGTGCGATTCGACTCTGTACCCGGCGGTCGCCCGCCGAGTCCCAGCACCGAATACTCTGACCGCGACCTGATCGGGCCTGGCTTCGGCTCCGTTACCAGCGCGCGTCTCGTGCCCGGTCAGAAGGTCTATCTGACGTACAACGGACGGGAAATTCACGCGGAGGTCACGCAACATCGCGAGCATCTCGACGAGGTGGACGTGATAATTGTACCGACCGGCCAAGAGGTGAGTTACGAATATTTTTTTTTCCTTTTTCTCTTTAATTTCCCGTGCTTCGGGGAAACCACCGGTATTTCCGGAGCTTTTCGCCTCGGAATGGGGATAACCCACGCGCGGCGGATGTACGAACGGTGACGCAGCTATTTTTACTTTACATTCTTATAATTTTTTAAACCTTTTACGACTATGGTTCTGGAAAATATGGGTATTTTAATAATTCGAAATTTTATATTTGCCGCGTAAATTTAATTTTCGATCAATTCGTACGGGTAACAGAAAATGGTATATTCGGGTGTTTCGAATCGAATTCAGTGGTGTATATGTATATGTATGTATGTATATATATATAAATGTTAAACAATAGAAGAACGTGGATTGTAATTTGCTGTTGTTATAGACTGTTGTTGAATTTGTTGTCTGAATATTATTTTTTTTTTTTT